TATTCGTCACACGTGCGAAATGTATGCACTGCACATCAGAAAGAACAAAAGGATTCAAAAACGGTAAACTCCACCACTTCGCTCCAAGCTCCACTCCATCCTAGTCTCCGCCTCCATAATCAGATAATGTAGTACACTAGGTGAATAAGTGCAATCGAAAGTTTCCAATCTTGTACATGCATTGAATGCTGAGAATTATCGTTTTTCGCATGAAAATGTTCGACAGCTCTTTTAAAATCGTGATTGCCCATCAACAGGCAATTTAGCTGCAGGAAACCTCCTTCGCTACTGTCAAGTTGCTCTGCTTATTTTCAGCTTGACTAATGAATTGAGAAGAAACCAAGTTTGTTCTACTTATGGCATAGCAAAAGTAAAACCGATTGCTTCAAACCTTGTCAAGGCTACATGCCATGATGAGTATTACGAGTCAAAGGCTGAAGCCCATCAAAGTAAATTTTTCTACCGACATTTTTTGCAAAACATAAAAAATTGGAGAATCTGAATCAGGATACGCTAATCTCCTAATCTCAATGAAAAGGTGCGTAGTATATGAGACTATGCTATGAGCAACGCTGCGAATCATTGTGTGATTTGAACATCTTTATCCCACTCAATTTATATAGACAAATGTTCGTCAGCTTTGATCACTAAGAATTATCAGTGATTCAAGCTTAACCAGTCTTCCAGTAGCTCAGTGAGAGCTATCAAGTCCAAACCATGGGCATATCCAATAATGAGAGGCAATTTGGCTTCTCCCTCGTTTTCTTTTTCAGGAATGGATAATAGCAGAATTATGCATCTGCTGGCAAAAGTTGGCAAGAGTTCTCAACAACTCCAATTTGCAGAAGCTGATGTGAAACAGCTGCAGAATCGCTCAGCACACTTACATTGACTATTTCAAACACTCATTTATATACATGTTATCAATGCTCATCGAAACTATGCCAGATTAAAGCTTTATCGGTTCTAGAAAATCAAGAAATCCGACTAATTTTTTCAGAGGGTACTATTTCGCATTTTTAGTTATAGGAGGGCTTCAAAAATGTTAATTTCATGAAAACATGTTTTAGTACGAATGTTTATGTTTCAGGTCCTCACCATTACGAAATCTCGAAACTTTACTTAAAGAAGTGTTCTTAAACGCTCGCAAGTTGACTTTGATAGCAAAAAGTATGTATCAAGCAGAGCGTGTTCTCGTTTCAAATTTTCAGAATGACATAAAGCTCTGACCAGACGGGTTGCAAAGCTCCAATACAAACGTAGAATAAGTTTTAATTTTCACATGCTATTTATTCCTTTTTCTATAACAGATGAAAGGATATATAAGGCTGGATTATGTACTAACACTAAGTACATCTGGAAAGAAAAAGAAACCTCGAACAAGTAACACAAGCAACCTTTTTCAGTGAGATAAATTTGTAGGTATTCACAAAGTTTTGTTGCGCTACATCTAGGTGAAGGCATTTTCCACATAGATCAATAAAAAGAATGTTCGAGCCCCTTCTCCATGCTAGATCAGAAAATCTGTGCCCTGATTTGCCAATCAATAGCTCAAGACACTATTAGGTTGTAACAGAATTAATGCAGGTTTTTTGCGCGCCTTTTTCAAAATGCTGGTTTAGAAAGGGAAAGTGTTTTCTCAGAGAGATTTGTATATCATTTGGAAGCTCTTTTCATCTAATTTCTTAAGCATTCTTTCATTTCAGTGGAAGTGAATTTGTCTGGAAGTCTGAACCCATGAATTTGAGAAACCAAATCTCGAAATTCTTTCCTTCAATATAACTGGCTCTAAAACCACCAAAAACAATCGAAATTAGCTGCAAATTTACACAGTATTTTTGAGTGAGCTATGTTACAAAATGCGTGTCAAATCATGAGTTCTGAAAACATCTGATCTGAGAAATTTCAGAGCAAAATTCAACGGTCGCTGTGGTCCGTCTGCCACACAAAATCCTCCGTGCGAAGCGACTGCGCAGCTTCCGGTTTATATAGGAAGAACAGACTTCAGACATTCAAGGCTGAAAAAATCGGGAGCCATTCTTCCTATTCAGCTTTGAAAAAATTCAAAAGTCTCAGAAAAGCAATTTTCAAATTCGCAGAAAAGTCGAAAAAATGAGCACTTTCACATTTTTTTCCAAATAACCTCTCGCAAAGAATTTTTTCCTATTCCGAATTGGCAGAATTCGGGCTATAAGATTTTTCTCAGTGAAGATGCAACAGCACAATAATGCATACTGAATTGAAAATGGTTTGCTGATTACAACATTCTTGTTGCACACGAAAAGACTGGTGTAAAAAGTTATAATGATCCAAAAACAAAATTCAGAAAACCTGCATTAATTCTGTTACAACCTAATAATATGTATTATTCTGCTCAGTTGATCTTTATACTCATGCTAAAGGCATAGTTACGTGAAATTTCAACATGCAAAAATTGAACTTGCAAAAACAAATTTTGATTTAGCAGTTGATTTTTGTGTTTTAATTATTTTTTGTTGAGAGCGTTTTGATTATTTTTTGTTGAGAGCCGAATTTGCTTCCTTCACAGATTGAAAGAGCATTATGGCAAGGCTGAAACGCCGCTACAGCATATGTTTATGCTTGAAAAGAATGTGAAGATAAAGCGCAAAACACACTCCAAGGGGAAGGAGACAATAGGATTTTGGAAGGGATTAAGCGAGCCAGGCACGTCCACTTTTTTGTGCTTAGGTCCCACATACCAGGAGTCATAAATCTCATCCCCACTAGCTCCGCTATGCTAATTCCATAGTGCAAGAAGTCTACGACAGTCAGCTTGTACGTTTCTCACTGACTGGGGCAATTAAAGGGCAGATACCAAATTTAAAACCTAAGTTTTTTCTCAAGGTAGGATACTTGGACTGCTACACATCGTCTATCAATCTGAACAACTTTGCCAGTTGTGGGTAAAAAATAGGCAGATTCTGTTAAAATCTGTGCATGTGCTAATCGCCATTGTTATTGCAGCAGCCGGAATTCTTACAGAATGAAAATAAGTGGGAAACATATCCGAGGGACGATCGATGAAGTTTTTGGTCGATTGAAAAGCTCGCACACGCTACGAAGTAGCATATCCCATTTTTTCCCATGTGTCCAATAATTTTCAACGTTTTTACTACAACCGTCGTCTTTTTGTATCTTTCCCTTAACTGAGGTGGCTTGAGGAATCATTTGACAGGGCAAAGCAAGCTCTACAAGATGGCTATCGAGAGTCTGCTCAAATCGTATTCCACATGAAGTTTTGAATAGAAATCTGATAGCAGTCAAAAGCGAAGTTTACCCTGAAAAATCGTATCTGCGCCCCCAAAAGTCTCAAAAGTTCGCCATTTATTCTAGCCTATGCTTGACACATCAAACATTCAACTGTACCCTTTCCCGCTGGGACAGAAAGTGAGAAAAAATGGATGGAGTAAGATGCTAAACTCTCAAACGTTCTGAGCCCCTCCTACGTGATCATTCAGTTTATACATACATAAGTACGATCATGTATTTGTAGCTTTTGTAGGTACCCAGTTCTCGAGAAATGTGATGTTCAGGATAACGATAAAAAAATTATGGGACACCCTAATAGATCTTTAATTACTACCACTGGTATACTATTATATTTTTGAGTTCATTTACAATCTTTCATACAAAATGGCATAGATTAGCATTCACGCAGAATTGCGCACGCATTATCAGGAACAGGTTTTGTGTGATCAGATTAGAATAAATGTTCCGCCCATTGGTAGTGAATAATAATGCTAGCTATCAGATTTTATGCCCGAAATGTTTTTAGTGTCATTATGATAGACGCGCTGCGCAATTCATTCGTGACATAACGCTAACAATCTCCACCACTGCATCAAACACTGCGGCCTTCAGGGCTTTTGTTGCGGTTCCCAGCACAATGTGCCTTTTTTAGCAGAGCGTTCTTCGGTGGATCCTTCCAGTTTCCACTTTGACCCAACAAATTGGCGTTTCCAACTTCAAAAACGCTAGTACGTATTTTTACTCAATACAAAGGCAGAGGAAAAACTGGGACGCAGAAAGTTTTTTCGAATCGCAAATTAATAAAAAATTGCAACAAGCAATTAGATTGGTTCGCAAGTTCTTGCACAAGAATTTTACAAAATTCGTTCCATGAAGCGTGGAATAGGTTTCGTTATCTAGCAGGTCCTTTATGTAACATCGATAATGTTATACTTTCTTAAGCATATTAGAAGTTTCATGCAAAACCAGATGTAAATGTCGACTGAAAAGTTCCATTATGACTATATTTAGAGATATCATCAGAAGTTTATGCTATTTGCAAAAAACGGTCCAAAAACCAACACCAAAATTAGAGTTTTTGCGATCTTTTAGTATTTTTAGAGAGTAAAATTTAGAGGAAAAACATTTGTTCATTTTGTGCCAATAACGTTTTTAGATCGTGTACTGCTATAATGGTATTGCATTTCTCCCAAAATGAAATGAACTGAACCACTCATTGTCGAAAATATGGATTGCTTCCCAGAGATTTTGATGCAATACTCATAGATCACCCAAACAGTTTGTTCAGAAGAAAGAAGTCAAGAAATTTTGGATATGTTTTGGGCCTTATTTTCCATTGTAAGTTGTAATTATGGCAAGCTTTGACTAGATTAAAATGTTTAACTATTTAATCCGTTTTTCGAAAATGTGAAAAACTTTCTATGACAACATATTAAAGTTTTTTTCTGCGTCTGATTGGTAAGCTGGAGTCACGCATGCCATACGACCGTCTCCATATTGGGGATGCTAGAGTGGAAAAGATGTTCTATGAAAGCCTGTTTATTATTTATGACTAATCTGGTCATATGAGGTATCACGTAAGTAACGAAAATAACTGCAATTAGTTAAAACTCTTCGCGAACGAAGATTGTAGTTGAAAATGAGACCGAGAGTTTGCAAAATACGACAAAGGGAGGTAGGACAATTGAGCAAAATGCGGTTGCAGAATGATAACATGCATAAAATGACCGCTACAATATGATAGGGGTGACGGAATCTTCAGGAGCGACCCCATTTTTATATTGAGAAGAAACAGCGGGAGCATAGTCTGCCGAACAAGTCGTTATGTGGTCGTCGGGCAGTGATGGGACCGTAATCCTTAGTCCACTAAGGCCATTGAGGTCGAACTGGCTCATCGAGAAGACGAGCAATGACAGAATGCATGCGTACTCGGCAACGGCCGAGCGATATGGGACTGAAACAAGACAATCGGGAAGAATTAATTGTTTCCCCACATCAATTTCGCAATAGTCCATGGGTTTCTAAAAAACTAAAGCGACGATAAAAATGCCGCTATTGCTGCTGAGGCTGAATGCATTCATAGCTCTACATTAAGGGCTGAGGCTTGCATAGCTAGATAATGTCTTTCAGATCTTCTCTCAGCTCGGCCTTGACTATAACACTCCTAAGTGGTATTGGCTTGTTTTTGAGCTCCTTGGAGTAGATACCGCTCTGCGATGCTTGAATTTATACAGCTTTACTACATAACAGCTCTACAAACAACAACTACGATTTACCTCAAAGCGACTAAAAAATCAGTTTTGGCACATGAGCAGTTCCAGTCTCAGACTCTGCACTGATATACGGGTGATTTTTGAGATGTACTAGTGCTCCGCATGTCTTATTTTGCAGTTCAGTTGATGACTCTATAGAAGCGACAAACAGCGTTTCGTATAGGAAGTGGGTTAACCATAATGCGATTCAAGTGGCTTAGTCAAGTTGAAAATCTCGACCTGCTCTCAAACATCGTCAAAATGTTCCGACATGAGTGATTCTACACTATAAATTTCGTAAGCATGACAATAAATGAGAATTCTTTACTGGCTAGTTGTCGAGTACAATCACATTCGAAATAAAAAAACCCGAAAAGCGACATTCTCGTGATCTGGCCTACTATTTTTCAATTTCCAACCAAGAATGAAAAAAAATACGGCGATCGTACATGTGTGCGATGTGAGCAATATGCGCGACATTGAAGGTTCGCCAAAGTTTTCCCGGACTTCTAATTTTTGAAAATTTTAGTTTTTCTTTTAACTTCCCATGTATCGAAGTTTTTGCTTGAACGCCATCCAATAGGTTTGCTTATACATTGGTTCCGTATTCTGTTTACATAATTATTATAGGTGCATCAGTGGCGTACCTAGGATTTCCGTTCGAGGGGGGGGGGCAACAAAAAATTTTTTGATGAAGGTGCGTGGCGTTAGCCACACACCGAGAAAAAATTTTCGGTATGCTTCTCAAAAATTTCGCGGGCCCATAGCTATGTTTATGAATCGTGATTGCCTTCCTTCCTTCGAAGATTTTTTGTCTCAAGCACGCGCACGATGAAAGAGTGAAACTGTGAAAGCAGTTACTGAGATCACAATCTCAGGTCACACTTCATTTTTTTTTGCAAAATGCAAGCAATTCTATCATTATTCTTTCATTCAATCGGTCTTTCGCAGAAAATTAAACCAAAATAGGATGAAACGCTGTCTAAAATATCAGCAAGCCGATAGCGAGCCCGAAGGTGCCTCTAGCCAATGGTTTGACAATCGCATCACAAATGAAAGCATCTTCTACATATGACAATGATAAAACAGCTGCTTTTCTGCAGCTCAAATCAAAAAACATATCGGCAGATTTCACACTACGTTGCAAAAACTTCGCGCAGTGTTCGTTTTGTCAAATGCTCATTCAGTTTCAATCGACTCAAAAGGGAGTTTGCCAGTCTTGCTGACTGGGCCAAATTTTGCCATGTCTCATTATGGTAGCATAAGATACCTGATAAGGTCATTTGCTTCTATCTACCCTTTATAAGCGAGGGTGGGGGGTCAAGTTCTACCGAAATTCAATTTGCGGCTGCTCATGTTAAGATGACATTCACAAAAACCGGATTCAAATTTTCGATCAAACTGTGGGTATAAGAACCTGGATATGAGTCCGACTTTTTCCTATGTTTCTTAGACGGACTAATCGTGAATGAATGTTTGCTGGAATGAAAGCAAAGAGAACTAGATAACTTAGAAGGAAATGCGATACTCAGCACCAAACTTTCGTTCTGACTCCAATCAAACTTGACCAAGCATAAGTACACTTTGGCAGCGCAAGACTAGCTAGATGTTGGAAAAGAAGTTTGGAAGTGTTTTCCCAGGTGATAACACTTAGGCAGATCCAGATGCTACTACAAATAAAGTGTTAGAGGATTTCAGCTAGCGTTCGAGTACTAGTATAAGTAGCGAGTGTACATATGTAACCTCGTGTTATTTGTAACTTGATGTGTGAGATTGCACACTGAGTTCTATTAGCGACGGCACCCGTACTAGTAACTTCCCAGTAAAACATTTTCTAGCTCAACAAAATGTGTAAATGTGTTCTACTGAACAGATAACCAAGTAAAACAACAGAAACAAGGAAACAAGGAGAAATCACTGGAAATGAGCAGATACTAATTTCGCAGTTCGTCAGTTAGCGTGTATAGTGTGCACTACGCATATTAAGTTACAAATGACTCGACGATATATGTGGATAAACTTCAGAAGTAAAATCTCAGCTGTTAAGGTGCTAAAGTGTTCCATAAGCACATTTTGTACTCAAATACTTTTTGTCCGGTTGGATTTTGACATGCAACTCATTATTATGTTTACGCTTCTGCACGGTAAAGGAAGTCTTTGCGGAGATTCGAATGCGATGAAGCTGAGTGGATACATTGCATTAGCGGACTATGGTGATATGTGTCTGACCATTGAAGAAATCACTAATCTGTGAAGACATGAAGCCAAAAGCAACGAAATGAATGAAGATCATGAACTGTTAGATGTATACAACCAGCTTTTACGTCAAGTCCCCTCTATGACTAGTTTTTGCAAGGTCTCGCCTTTGAAGTGAATTTCAAGAAGTTCACGAAAAGCCGCTTGTCATCCAAGATAAGAAAATGTCAGTCTTCATAATCGTCTGTCGCAAACGATATTCATTGTCTCCTTCATTTTGCAAATTATTTTGAAGGGATTTGGTACTAAAATGCGGATTGATGGCTTAGATATTAGAATCTATCACTTTGTGAAAAGAGCAATTATTAATCAAAGGGTAGATGTCTAATTAAGCATGCCCGTGGATGTGGTCAAGACGATGGTTCAAAACTTTGCAGTCCCACTGTATAGTAGTAACCTAATGCATGCAGTTATGTGCAACAGTGTTGAGTTAACCTAATTTGAGTTTAAGCTTCTCTCTCTTCTACTCTCTACTCTTACGAACTTTTAATCCCACAACCATTTGCTATTTACAAAATCTCATTTCTTCTCTCATTTGCATACGAAAACAAGCCACAAGTGTATTTTTGACCACCGAAGGCTGGAGCTTGGAGAGAAGAAGGGACATTACATATCACTCAGGATAAGGGAGAGAAACTCAGACAGTCGACGGCATACCTCCGGAGCAGAGATTTGCGCGTCCCGGAGAAGGGTCCCATTCGCCTGCTTGTGACGTCACCGTGACCTACAAGAAGGGACCGCCCCCTCGCCCCGCTCTCATTGGGTCAATTGGTTCCTCCGCGGCTCTGCCAGATTTCGTCTGTCCGCCGCGACTACGGCACCGACTGTCTGAGAAAGCTATGTGGCATCACTATTTGTAATCAACAATACTTCTCAGCAATGTACGAGTGCAATCCTATACTGTGTATAGGATGTACAAGATGTCCCAAAAAAGTGCTCACCTTCTGTTTGATTGTTATTAACTCTTTCGCTTCAATGTGTTTTGTTGATCTTTAAGTACCATTCTGTAGAGCTGGTTTCAATATAGATTTACAGTATAGAGTAAATCCCCGATCATTCTTCGTTACTGTCGGATTACGGTAGAGACTTTGGAGGAAGCCGTTAAGAGTTGCTTTGTCTCAGAAAAAAGCCAAATATAAGAGCTGTCGAATAAATGTAGGTTAATCAGAGTCGCTGATTTCAAATTCCAGAACTTAATCCACATAAACCGTGATCTCTGCTTTTTCCAGTATTCTTCAGAAATGTGCTTACACCGCTAAAAAGGTCCAAAAAGCATCCAAGAGGTTGTTCGATGGAAACAGCATGCGTGGGAACCCTACGCAACTTTTCAGATTTTTTCAGAATTTTTTATCAATCAGCTTATTTTTCAAAGGCGCTGTGCTGTAGTTCATACGGCAATCCTACATTAACGAAGGGAGATCGAAGATTCAACCCGTACTTCAAATCTAAGTTGGAGCCAGCTCTACAGAATAATACCAAAAGATCAACAAAAGACAATGAAGCAAATGAGTTAATAACGATTGAACAGTGTGCAGATTTTGGGACACCCTATGTAAGAATAAATATACTGCCTCAATGATTGGGAGAAAACGAATCCATGATACTGCCTTTTATGGATCTGAATCACCTAAGACAGTGCAGTTAAGAAGCGAAAAGTGTGCTAGCGGCCACAGAATATTTCTTTCCCGTAAGCTGGAGGAGAAGCAGGGCTCAGCATAAGGCTGCATTTGAGATTTACAAAAACGAAGTCACCCTGGCATTGCAAAAAATTACGAAGGACCTTCTATGGTGTTTATAGAAGTACGGCGTATAGCAACCTAATATATAAAGGTAAGAATAATATAAAGAATCCGTCGATTCAAAAGTATTAGATAGCGAGAAACCGCGGTGAGGTCCCAAAGCGCGCGGATGCAATCAAACCTTTCACTACTGGTTCACTAGTATTATCAAAGCAACTATATCCTAGTATTCGGTGGCGTGTCGAGGGGGGGAGGGGAAGACGTGAAAATGGGTTTCTGAAAGTTGCTTACATGAGTTATAAAAGTGTGTAAGTGACTTGTTCATTGTAAATGATGAAAATGATTTTCAAAACCTCAAAAATTCAATTAATCCTAAAAAAATTATTCGGGGGCGTGACTGGCACCGCATCCCTGTTTCTGATATTTCGGAATTATAGGCCCGCAAAAATTTGGAATACCGAGAATTTCTTCGGGGTGCGTGGCTCACGCCATGCACCACCATCAGGAGAAAATTCTGTCCCCCCCTCCCTTCTCCCCGCGAACAGAAATGCTGGGTACGCCGTTTAGTATGGTTATTAAAAAACTCTAGAGTACTCTCGCCCTATTAAAGTTATTGCCCACATACACAAATCGTAGTGCACGCATTCAGTGAACAATATGATCTTACATTTTTGAGCAGTTGTTCAAAAATCGATTTCAGCAAGAAAATACTCAACTCACCATACGTATGACATGGTTTCTCGGCATAGTACTCCAAGAGAGTTTCATGAACAGTAGGTGCGCAAACGGAATATGCGATCAGACACGACACTTTCAAGTTGAAAAATGTTGAAGAAAACTGAAATATAAATCTATTTGAAATCTCTGCAAAGGAATAAGTTGTTAGATCCAGGTCTTCTTCGTTGGAAGGATATAAGATAATAAAAAAAGTGATGCACTTACCGTTTTCCTTGGGTCAATGATATCGAGAGCGACACAAAGCGTTCCGTTTAGAAGATACAGTGCAGAGAATAGGGGAAAATTGTATCGCATTATCCACTTGACTAAAATAGTCTGAACATTCAGAAATCTGAGAAGTTCTTAGTGTACCTGATCTATCCTGCTGTTGGTGCATGCTTGTCATTGTCATGAGAACGGCTGAGGAGAACAGTTCGAGTATCGGTTGAACTCTGCATAAAAGCCGGACTAGTTTGCCTCCTTCGAGGAGTTCCAAAATAGTGGTGCATCGTATCAAGCACAGAATGAACTGAAAGCAATGGAACAAATTTTGCTAATTTCATCAGGTCATACTTGATTCAAATTAAAAACAATTGACATCGGACCCAGGGCTCAGCAGAGGTTGCGCTTTCAAACGCTGGATGTCGTTTTTTAAAAAGAAATGCAAAAGGGAACCCGTAAAGTTTCCACTCAGAAATCTGACAGATTCCAGAAAGCGTGACTCTAACTCTTAGCAAGCCTGAATGTGAAGGCCTGACGTGATTCAACCAGTTATAGGTAAACTAACACGTTACAGACATGCCTAGAGCAAAAACTTACGTGTACACGAATTCAACATGTTAAAACACAATATTTACGCACTAAAAATATAAACAATTGGTTTGTTCAAAACAACTAAGCAATATTGAGCTAACAAATTTGGTCTGTACATCCCGGCGAAATCAAAAGAAAAGTGCGAATATTTATGAAAATATTATTGAACGAGAGGAGTTATAAGTTTTTTCGGTTTCAGGTAGCTCCCGCGCAACCTGGGAGCACTCTGAAATTCGGCGGGACCAGATAAAGTCATAACTTTTCACAATTCTCCCCCTTCCTCATATAAATTTTCAAATTTTTCACATAAGTTTAATCTTTAGATCAAGCTCTACATTTACTCACCTTAACCCGGATTTCGCCCCTACGCTTTTTTACTCATCGTGATGATAAATAATACCCTTTTTCGCATTTTGCTTTTAAATCTTTGATTTATTCTTGTCCTTTCTTTACTCCTATCCACCATTTCTCATTGAAAATCATCAGAAGAACTTCAGCCAACACCACAAAAGCTATCTCGTTCTTTTCTGCGATGTCAAGAGGGACTTCTCTAATTTCTCATATGCCACCTCGTGCTGGGCACTGGTCCGACCCCAACAGTTGAATTTTCAACAGGAAGCCTATAAACATGCTGAAGAACTAGCATGCTTGTAGCTTACAACAAAAACTTCGAACGGCTTCAGCAAAATATGAGAGATAACAAATGCACAAAAGGCTGTATATAGTGGGATAATTGAAAATCCCCACTACCGCAGCAGAGTGGCACCTTTTTCAGCTGGTGAATTTCAAGTTTCCGTCTTCGACTTGCCAACTGTCTAGCTAAAAGCGAAGAACCCATTTTCGGTCGTTGGCTATAAGAGAATCGCCGAGGCTCTCTATTGTATATTTCAGCCCCCCCCCCTTGTAAGAGACAAAAACGGGGCTAAGTGAGTCTGCTTTTTTTGTTGAAAAAACCTAATTAAATGTACTAACAAAGATGAAAAAAAAAGTTAGCACACAAATCACTTCAAGCATTGGCGTATAAAGAGACAAATTGGTCGCGACACAAAACGTCCTCGAGGATTAAGATCAGCAAAATAAGCAGATTGCTTGTCAAACAAGTGTACCAGCTGAGAAATTAGCTGGATGCGACTTCCGACTCTTATGAGCAACGATAGCTTACTAAGGAAGTCGTGGACGACCTAAGAAGACAAACGGAAGCTATGCTTGGACGTGAACACAGCTTAAAGGTAAGCCATCTGACAAGGGAAGGCACCTAACTTAGCTCGGCATTTCAGAATAAGCCATATATGATTTGAATCTCCAAACGCTGATTCCAAATATGCTATTCCTACCGCCGCGCGTCAATCTGGAGCGCGTTATTGAATTCTTTTTCTGTGCAAAATTTGCGTGCTTCGGCTCAGTGGCATCATGGCATCATCATTTAAGTGCCAGCACACTTGCATAAAGTTCTTGTCATTGAGAAAAGATTCGACGATTTGGTGTTATTTCGATATTCCAGCACATTTTTGGGCAGATTCCATTTACAGGCATCTTCACATACTGGAAAGTATGCCAATTTCGCACAGTAAAAAGCTCATAACTCGCTTCAAAATGGTGCGCCGCAGCTAGGAATAGCAAAACTAGAATCAGCTAAAGCCCATTCAGAATACGCATGTCTTTTTCCAGAAGGTCAAGCTACGTAGGTAAGTTACCTTTGCTCATAAGTACCTAGTAGTAAGCAGGTAGTGCTAGTTCTGTGTCAGAAAATTTCTTTATAGTGTTATCGCGTTAATCAAATTTTCTAACCTTGATATTGACTCCGAGCAGCACCGCTAACCGCAGTAATGCCTGAGGAGCAATTTTCATTTCCAGCACCCTTGAAAGCGACGGCAGCCATCCTTGTGGGACTGCTTTTTGCTGTAAAGCTACGTATGATAAAATCACTGAAAATGATGTGAAACTTCTTACGTGGCAAAAGTTCTTAAACGTGGTTCCAAAATCGTATCGAATCAACTTTTTGCGGTGCAACTTGTGAAGGGGATGACTCTTGTTTTGAGCTGCGATTGCTTCGCTCATGTAAACTGTTGAGTTGGTAATTCTCGAGCGAGGCTTTACGAACCAGTTCCTAAACGACCAGAATCATATTTGTACCGGACCATGAATGCACTGTCCAAGTTTATTGGTATTCTGTCGCTGCACATAAAGTCTACCAAAAACTTACCACACACAAGCGAACTTACTTTAGAAAACATTACAGCAGCACAAGTTACTGCCTGTATAGCAGAAATTTCGAGGATGCTTTAGTAGTTCTAAACTATAATACTTACAATTTAGAACTACCGTCATTTTGAACTGAGTGTTCTTTAATTGCAAATTTTTCTATGCATAAGTGAACGTGCTGATAACAGAAGCACTATCAACATACTTACTATGTTGCTATGTTGTTATTGTCACCAGTATATCCATTATCAACTCTATAACGGAAACTTTGAAAACATGAAGGAGGAACTACTACACAGCTTGCAGATTTATGGTTTTTGCACTGGGAGGCCCTAAGGTGCATTAGAGTAATGCAAAAATTCATTTTATCGGTTGCTTCTCAAAGGAAATCACCTTTTTCACATACACAGCCGTACCATGTACGCAGAAAGAAGGTGCCGCTGCAGACGCCGTCGCGTTTCTTTGAATAAGCGCGCTTTCATCACTCTCAGCATTTGTTATCTCTACCGTTCGCATAAGCTATCTTAGTGGCACGCAAAAGCTTCTAGCTTTCGCGTGCGGACTCCCTTGTAAAACGCGTTAGTCGTTACAAGTTCGTACTTGGTTTTTTTAACAAAAGGGAAATCTTTTGAGATATGCGACGCCCATTAAAGTGTAATACTGCACTTCGCTCTCTTGTGTTACCAGGTTGGGGGAAAATGTTTTCCCTACCTGAGCTATCGCTTTAGGTCCCGCTCATACTCATGCAATTCCACTCGATTTGACAATTGCCACATGTTCATAATTCATCAAAGGCGAATCGAATGTAAAGAAAGCATGAAAGCTTATCAATCAGCGGAAATACACACTATGCAATGTAGTCTGCAAGGTAGCATTAACAGACATCCGGCACATTGCCAGATCATGTCACGACTGAAATCGCGTGAAGTATGCGCGAGTCATAATGCGAACATCAGCAAATTCATGTTTATTCGATAAAGCAAAGCAAACTTTACAAAACTCGGGAAGCACTAATTTACCTTTCCGATCCTCAGAAAGAAAAAGCTAAGTAAATTATGAAAACATTCAATTGAGCAATGAATTTTTGCTCCAAAAAGCCCAATAGCTTATAGATACATACTTATGCTTGTACAGACGCATGAAAACCTTCATGTCACACCTGCTATCTGTTCTACATGAGATTCTAAATTCTAAAATATTTAGTTCAGCTAAAAAGCGCAAAAACATGATCGCATTTCCATCTTAATGGACAGATTTAAGGCAAAGAAAATAGTAAGTTAGCGGATAATTTCTGTTACGCTTTTTCTTTTCTATTCTAGAGAATTTCGGAGCTCCCTGATTCCAAATATGCTCCACATGTAAGGCACGACAGGATCTACACATCAGCATAGATGCTGCAAATGCACAGTAGCCAGCAAGTTTACAACAGTCCTGTAGACACATTCAAGATTTACATTATTTTTTACTTTTCCTCCTGCGTCTCAGCGTGCTCTCCCATAAATTTTTTTCGGAATGTTTTAGCACCGTTATTTGAAGCTACACTCTAGTGCCGCTAGCGTGTTAAATACCATGGGGTAAAATTATATCAAAGGAAGTTCGAGATCTGTCTTTTTCATTTCATGTGCGTTGTGTGAGATTTAGTACAGAGAAACTGAAAATACTTTCAACATCTTCTAAAAAATGCTCTCTATGCCAAATTGCGAATGAGCGCCAGCATGTGGCACCATCAACTCACAAGGGGAAGCCTTTTCAGTCAAGCATCCCAATTTCCTTTGATGCTTTGTAGAGCATTCAACGGGGATTTCAAATCTGTCTTCGTAATATTCCAAGCGCCTTTTAAGCGAGTTATCTGCGTTTTTTTGGGTGATTTATTTGAGCACCTGGGACGAATTCTTCGAAAATTGCTGATATAATTAGAGTTAATTATCAGAGCACTTCATTCTATGCATGCCTTCTGTATAATACACTCATACTCATGAGAGCGCGGATCTTCCGCGGTCATAAAAAGTGCCCCCCCCCCATAAAGTGAGTGCTTTGCGCCAGACCTCGGATTCGACACCACCGGATAAGTGGACCTTTGCTTTTCGTCAGCATGCCTTGGACATAAGATTTTCGAAAGCTTCTTCGATTTTTATTTAATGATAAAAAGTGTATCAGAACTTATCCGTCATATTACATTAGAAGGGGCTCTACCGATGCCGTTTCAAGATAGTGGCACTTTCGACGGTAAAGCTGATCAGGTAGCGTGGTTAAATTCCAGACAAATCACAGATCTTTTACTTTTTCAGTATGTTTCACGAGTTTTCATACGATGATGTCATTGCAGAAATTAGGTGAGAGCTCTGAAAAGCTTTCGAAAGCTCTTTGTGCGACGCCTCTAAATGATAAGTGAGCTGAGTTGAGAGAAAACTGAGTAGTGAGGTTAGTGATGACCGAAGATCTTTTGCACTAGTATCTTTGTAATGTAAAGAAAGAAATTACGTTTTGTTTCCGAAATTGTCCATGGGAAGGATTTGTTCTCTCTGGGCCGCATAAGTGGCAAGAAGTATGCAGATAAAGCTGCATAGAAGAAGACAGTGATGAATAGTTGCAGCATCCATCGAAAAATGAATCCATTCTCTATCGTTGCTGCTAGACACCATAGCCGAGATAATCCTGCAATAATTTGAAAAGAAATATGCCTACTATATGCTTTGAAAGGATTGCGTATCATGACAGTTCACAATCATCAATGAAAGAATATGCTGGAGTGCATTCAGTTGATGCGGAAGCTTTCTCCGCCAAGACAAGGAAGGAGAAGTTTAAATATGTCGTAAAATATCTTTCTCATGTTATTTTATTCGCGGCAGCCGGTTCGAGGTGCGCATTCGGATAGGATATCTGCAAGAGAATGCCTTCAATACGTGTGATATAACTACAGCAAATTAGCACGTGCGTTTGGACCAATCAAGATTCAACAGCTTTTAATGGAAAATCTAGGCACGAAATTGGCGAGCCTAAGTGTCTCTTTCTTATGAGTGCCGGAAAACATGGAATTATACAATCTTTATCTTTATTTGGTATGCCTACAGGTGTGCTGTAATACAACACAAACATCTAAAGTAGTTCCGAGTGAACTAGACGACAACAAGGAAGGGAAAAAACAACAACAAAATTGAACATTACGCACCACAAATCTGGTCCCAACTACTTTGTACTCAGTAAAAAAAGTGACATTCTACCCTTGAAATTCATGGCGATGTTGAAGACATAGTCAGTAACATTGTTCACCTCTGGTCCGTCAGCTGAAACAACTAAAATGATGCCGTGAGGACGGACTGGAAGCCCGGCGAAATGGTCATCCTGGCAGCAAAAATTATGCTTAATTATGTCGCTTTGACTACATGCAAAGCTATAGTAAACATTTATAAATATTTATCATTTATAAATTAAAAAATTCTTCGAAAAAGTTGTTCAAAAATCGTTCAAAGCATTCGAGACAACATCTATACAATGGTAGCGTTCAATGTCTTGGCTTTTTCAGACTAACGGTCAAGCGAAGGACCAGAAAAAATTTGATGAGAATATATCATATGTTCACAAACATTTACGATAGTTTTGTATGTATTTATAACATAAATCGACTTAGCAGCCTTCAATACACTGATCATTATTACCTTTATTCTGTTCTTCGAGGGAAATTTGTATGGAGATTCGATAGTCATTCGTATTAGATTCGATTAGTTTGCGTCATTAGGTGAAACGCGGAAGTTTCAATTGTCTGATCTTTCGTGATAGCATTTGCGACGAGGAGGCTGTCAGACGCGTTGCATGCCTAAATATTCTCATCGTCACCAACACCGACAGACCTCATAGCTAGAACCTTTTGATAAACTTTTGTTTGACTTTGCTTATATAGCTTGCTTGCTTGTATAACCACAGTCACCCTGTCATTTTTGAGTGGAAAAGGGCATTCCAAGATATTTCTATCCTTTGACTTTCGCCACAAGACTAAAGTTCAATAATTTCATCTTTGTCTTAGCTAGACTTGGGAGATGGAAATGATCTCTCAATCCCTGCTGATGCACTCGCGCATGTGACGAGACATGATAAAGTACATACCCCCCCCCAAATTTTTTGAACAAATTGAGTCTGACGCACAAAACTTGCTGTGATATGCTAGATGTTCCTTACTAATAGCAGGGAGATAGGTTAAGCACAAAAAAGGGAAATGGAAGATCCATTCCGTAAGGGGTATCAATTCAGAGGAACTTTATGTTTATGGCCGACAAGAATTTTTGAATGAAGGATGGACGGAAAGCAGTCCAAAGCAAATGACACATTTATAAATTGAATTTTCATAAATTAAATCGTTGTTTTCGGATAAATTCACCTTGGGTTGTACGAGGACGAGATGACAGAATTCGGTCATATTATAATCATTCATATATTTAACTTGTACTTGACAGATTTTATACCACATTGGATTGATTTTCGAACGATCCTGGCGTTCTTCTTGGTCCATTCTGCTACAAATCTCTAAAACAAAAAACCTCTGTTTTAAAACATATGCACTTCTTTCTCAGACAATTCACCGGAGATTCCGCGGGACAAGCAAAATTGCACGGTTCTGCAGGATCTTGTTTACTATTACAGAAATGGAAGAACTGAAAAGGAATACTCCCGCAAGATCTTTACGCCAGACTGGTTGAAACGAG